ATGAATTTTCGCGATAAGCAGAACCGCAGAATAATTTTCGAGTAAAACTTTATATTTCTTAAGATATTTTGGCTAGACAACACAATTTTGGCTCCAACGGTCCAGATAAGTTTTTGTTTATAAAAGATATGTGTACATATATTTTACGATTAGAAAAACGAACTTATTAATTAACTCGAGTTAATAATCCGTGAGAACGTCGGCTTGTAGATTAATGATAACTAATGAGACAGCCGTTACCTGCGACCTCATCCCGTTCACGGGGGTGGCAGTGGGATTGTCCGGCGGGTAGCCGATCACGTGCGAAGAACATTTGTCGCAAGTACGCCGTCGTCGAGACGACGCGCGGCAGCGTAAGGCGCGGCAGAGCTCGCGTGCCATCTCCGAGCAAAGCGACTCTTGTTGATTCGGTGGCTGCTGATGTTGCTGCTGGCACTGTGTTGTTGCTGCTGCTGCTGTTGCAATTGCATCTGTTGAAGAAGTAATTGTTGCTGTAGTAAATTCTCGGCATTCGCGGCGTTTGCAGTGTTTGCGGCATTAACTGCGACATCTGCAGCTGTAGCGGCAGTCTCCCTATCCAAACGTTCCTTCTCCTCTTTGGCTTTACGTTCTTCTCGTTCTCGCAATAGAGTGGTAATTTGCGATTTCAACATTTTAGCCACTGCTTTAGCATCTTCCTCTAATATAAGGCTCGATTTCGCCATTTCTAGCGCTACTTCCTCCGCATTATCAGCTTGTATGTCAAACTCGAATTGTATCGCCTCATTTTCCTTGTGCTTGTTGCTGCGCTTTTTAGGATCCAGCACACGCAATCTAAACTCAACACGCGACAGCTCGGTATCCGCAACCGCCGAATCCCGCGACACCATCTCCAATTTCAGTCCAACATCATCGGCGAAGAATTCATGATTAAGTAAATCCCTAACGAGCGGTCGTTCTTCCTTCTTCAGACGTATACACATTTCTATAATATCACGTACCTCCGGATTTTCAACTTTGTCATAGCTCTGTGGCTTAACACCCTGCGTAATATAAATTACTTTTTAGAATGT